ATGCAACAGTGCACGTATTCATCCCGCAGCGCGGGCTTAGTGGGCAGCCTGCTGGGCCCCTGCCCTGGGCTCCGCAGTGCGGTGCTGCGGGCACAGTGTGGGGGAGATGGACAGGGACGCGCATCCTGGCCACCCTCAGCTGGAATGGCCGGAATTGTGCAGTGGGAGGCTGGCAGCCTGAAGGTTTGACTGGAGAACAGGAACGGTCCTGTGGCTGCCATTTCCCAGCCAGGTTCTCCCAGCTTCTCCATAATGCCTGGGATTCTGATGTTAGCATCAAGAAAAAAGGCAGATGTCTTAAGTAAAAAAGAATCAAAAGACAAAAATGGTCTGTAACCCAATGTCCAGACCTCTGTTGAATTTTTTTTTAAAGTTAATACATGGGTGGGGCTAGCACCCTGGCGCAGCAGGTTAATCCTTTGCCTGCGGCGCTGGAATCCCATATGGGTGCTGGTTCTAGTCCCGGCTGCCCCCCTTCCAATCCAGCTCTCTGCTGTGGCCTGGGAAGGCAGTAGAGGATGGCCCAAGTCCTTGGGACCCTGTACCTGTGTGGGAGACCGGGAGGAAGCACCTGGCTCCTGGCTTCAGATTGGTGCAGCTCCAGCTGTTGCAGCCATCTGGGGAGTGAACCAATGGAAGGAAGACCTCTCTCTCTCTCTCTCTGTCTGTCTGTCTCTCTCTCTCTCTGTAACTCTACCTCTTAAATAAATAAATAAAATCTTAAAAAAAAATAAAGTTAATACATGGGGGGCTGGTACTGTGGTATAGTAGGCTAAGCATCTCCTGCAGCCCTGGCATCCTGTGTGGGCACCAGGTCATATCCTGGCTACTCCACTTCTGATCCAGCTCCCACTTGAAGGCTTGGGAAAGCAGTAGAAGATGGCCCAAATGCTTGGACCCTGCACCTGCATGGGACACCCAGAAGAAGCTCCTGGCTTCGGATTGGCCTAGCTCCAGTAGTTGCAGCCATTTTGGGGAGTGAACCAGTGGATGGGAGATCTCTCTCTGTCTCCCCCTCTGTTATTCTGCCTTTCAAGCGAATAAATAAATCTTTTTTTTAAAGTTAATATGTATGCATGATTAGACATTTCAAACCAATTGGAAAAGTACAAAATAATAAATACACATACTTGTGTGCACACAAGTGCCTGGGCCTGCTTTCTTTCCCCAAAGATGAGATGCTAAAACATACATGTGCATTTTTCCAGGAAAAGTTGACTTCATACCACCACGTGTAGCCTTTGAAAAGCTTTACCTGAAAGGCCCTGTGGTATGCTTGGTTCTTGCTTTTCCATCCTGGTGGTTGTTTTTATATCCATATATCTAGGAATATGAAGGTCAAAGGCTTTTTTTTTTTTTAAAGACTTTTATATTTTTTTGAAAGTCAGAGTTACACAGAGAAGGAGAGGCAGAGAGAGAGAGAGAGATCGATCTTCCATATGCTGGTTCACTCCCCAATTGGCCACATAGGCTGGAGCTGCACTGATTCAAAGCCAGGAGCCAGGAGCTTCTTCCAGGACTCCCACATGGGTGCAGGGGCCCAAGCACTTGGGCCATCTTCCATTGCTTTCTGAGGCCATTAGCAGAAAGCTGGATCAGAAGAGGAGCAGCTGGGACTGGAACCGGTGCCTGTTGTGGGATGCTGGCACTGCAGACGGTGGCTTTACCTGCTACGCCATAGCACCGGCCCCGAGGCTTTTTAACATCTCTGTGGAATCCCACTGTATGGACTGATGGCCCCTGATTACCTAACCACTCCCCTGTCAATGGACATTTAGGTTATTTCCAGCTACTTACTGGATGGTTGCATTTTAAATGTTTGAAATTTCCCCAGTAAGCGTGTCCTTTCCCCCTCCCTATAAATGCCTGATCATTGAGAAAAGCAGATCCCTTTGGAAAATTGTTGTTGTTTTAAATCTGAGAGGCAGAGACACAGAGGGGACAGAGAGAACTCCCCTCTACTGGTTCACTCCCCAAGTGCCCACAATAGCCAGGGCTGGACCAGGGCCAAAGTCAGAAGCTGGGAACTCTATCTAGTCTCCCATGTTGATCATAAGGACCTCCCAGGGTCTGCATTAGAAGGAAGTGGGAGTTGGGAGCCACAGCGAGGAATCAAAACCAGGCCATATGATGTGGGACATGGACATCTTAACCATTAGGCTAAGCACTTGCCCCTTGGACGTTTTCTAATTCATTCCTACAGAGCTTTTCGGATGCAGGCAGGGAAAGGGAGGAAGGGAAGCAGGTGTTGGATCTGACTGTCCAGGCCCTGAAGAGCTTTGTGTCCATGTTTGGTTTTGGTTCTAGGAAGCCAGTTACCCGCTGTTTTAGACAAGGAACCTCAGGCTCAGAGGCTGGGGTCAGACCACTGTGACCTACCCTGGGCCCGAACACGTTTCACTTCCTCAGTTCTGCCAGTTGTCTTGTACATGTGAGTCCTTGTAGAGCTCAGGGAGGGGTATCTCCGTGCATCTGTGTGAATTCTAGTACCTTCTAACAAGGGGGCATTTAGCTCTCAGTTTTCTGTTTCTAAAAGCCTTAAAAAAAAAAAAAAAGAATTCATTTTCATTTTATTTGAAATGCAAAGAGAAACATAGAGTGATCTTCCATCAGCTGGGTCACCCCCCAGATGGCCGCAGCAGCTGCGTTTGGGCTGGGTCAAGGCCAGGCGCTTATAACTCCATCCAGGCCTCCCATGTAGGGGGCAGAGACCCAAGTACCTGAGCCATCACCTGCTGCCTCCCAGGGTGTGCATTAGCGGGGAGCTGGATCGGAAGACGAGAAGCTAAGACTCGAACATGGCACTCTGCTATGGGATGTGGCATGTTTCTGAAAGCCTTGATTAGTGTGGCATGCTTTAGGATTCCCTGGCGGTAGGCAGTGATGGGAGGGAGGGGGTGTTTCTGTCTTGGGACCCTCACTTCCTGGGCGTAGGTCCTTCAGCAGAGGATGGAGGGCAGCCAGGGCTGCACTTGGTCACACAGCCTCCTACGTTTGCTCTGATGGATGCTGTCTGTCACGCCCCACATCTTAGAAGTCTCCCATCTCTGGACCCTGGCTGGTTGGTGTCTGTAATCGCTATTAGGGTTTCCTACATAGTAGAATCATGTCTCAGTTTTTCTGTCGTTTTTGAATAATCTAAAGTGGGTAAATAAAAATTAATGTTTGAATTTATATGCTAATTTAGCTTTCAGTTGGGTTTTGTTTGAGCATTATTGAAATTAATCTGTGTTCTTTGAGCACATTCCACTTACTGGCAAAGTACCATGGCCCCCAGATTACAGTTGGTGGCTGCTGGGGGTGAACTCAGAAGATGGATCATCAGCATCAAGATAATGGAAAAGTTTATTTTCAGACTTTTTTAAAATGAGGAAATGATAACTGAGCATCATCCAGAGTATGGAAACAAAAACATCTCGGTCTGGATCCTGCCCCGAGCAAATGCGTTTTCTCTTGTCTTTGTTCCTTGCCATGCCTGGTCCGTTTGCATGTCTGTCCTTTGTTTTGGACTTGGGGCGAGCTTTGGTTCTGATTCTGTCTCTGCAGCTCAGGGTCCATGTGGCACTGGGGAAGTTGCTAACTCTTGGAGCCTCTCTGTTCTCAGCTGTAAAGTTTGTCATTGTTGTAAAGACTGAGGTTCCTGGGGCCGGTGCTCTGGCTCAGCGGGTGAACGCCCTGGCCTGCAGCGCCAGCATCCCATATGGGCACCAGTTCTAGTCCCAGCTGCTCCATTTCCAATCCAGCTCTCTGCTATGGCCTGGGAAAGCAGTAAGAAGATGGCCCAAGCCCTTGGGCCCCTGACCCACGTTTCATTTCATTTCATTTCCTATGCCCACTGTATAGCTTATTCTGTATACACAGCCAGTTGGAGGGAGCTGTGGCCTATGCCATGATGGATCTGGGACAAGTCCCCCCTGTTCTGTGGGTGACCTAGAGTGAGATTTTTCAGTAACAGGAGGCCCAGAAGAAGTTCCTGGGTCCTGGCTTTGGATCGGCTCAGCTCTCCCCGTTGCGGCCGATAGAGGAGTGAACCATTGGATGGAGGACCTCTCTCTCTGCCTCTCCTCTCTCTGTATAACTCTGACTTTCAAATAAATAAATACATCTTTTAAAAAGAAGACTGAGATTCTGCCGTATGGGACATGAACCGCGTGGGACACGGGGCTCCTTCATCACTCTTTGGAGTCTTTGATTTTCCAGGGATTAACTCCTTCCCTTGGGGCTGGTTAACTGTCAGTGCATTCCCGGAGCTTACCAGCTTCCCTTTCTGAAGAGAGCCACCATATGACTAAGTCTAGCATACCTGGCTCTTTGTTTTTAGTTATTCTTTAAAAAAATTTTTTTAAATTTATTTGAAAGAGATCATCTATCCACTTGTTCACTCTCCAGATGGTCACAAGAGCCAGGGCTGGGGCCAGGCTGAAGCCAGGAGCCAGGAGCACCATACTGTCCTCCCATGTGAATGGCAAGGCCCCGAGTACTTGGGCCTTACTTGGGCTTTCCCAGGTGCATGAGCACAAGGCTGTATCAGAAGCAGAGCACATGGGACCCTAACCAGCACCTGATATTGGATGCCAGCTTCGCAAGTGCAGGCTTAACTGGCTTCATCATAACACTGGTCCCTCTTTTCGTTTTTATTTTATTTGAAAGGAAAAAGCAGAGAGATGCAGACAGACACAAAGAGATTTTCCATTCACTTGCTCATTCTCCAAATGCCTACAATGCTGGGGCTCCTAGGCCAGAACCAGGAGCTTCATCTGGGTCTCCCACATGGGTGGCAGGGACCCAAGTACCTGAGCCGTCATCTGCTGCCTCTCTCAGTGTGTATTAACAGGAAGCTGGAGCTTGGCCTTGAACCAGGCAGTCCAGTATGGGATGTGAGTGTCCCAAGCAACAAATGCTGCTTAGCGATGAATTTCGTAGGCAGAAACTTGCAGTGAGCCTGATCATGTCCAGTGCAATTCCAGTGTTCATGTGTTGCTTTTGTTGGACTTCCCTAGGCCAAGCCCAGCATTCGGTGCTTCGTTAAACCCCCTGAGACACTTGAACGGTCCCTTGAGATGAACAAGCACAAGGGCAAGAGGCGGGTGCAAAAGAGACCCAATTACAAAAACGTTGGGGAGGAGGAAGACGAGGAGAAAGGGCCCACCGAGGATGCCCAGGAAGATGCCGAGAAGGCTAAAGGCACAGAGGGTGGTCCCGCAGGCGTGAAGACGAGTGGGGAGAGTGAAGGTGAGTACCCCCGTGAACACCCCCATGCCCGCCAGCCAGTGAGGCTGTGCTCTTGTCCGCCCTGACCTGCTGCCCCACGTGTGTCCAGTGGTGCTCTTTCATTTCCTATGCCCACTGTATAGCTTATTCTATATACACAGCCAGTTGGAGGGAGCTGTGGCCTATGCTATGATGGATCTGGGACAAGTCCCCCCTGTTCTGTGGGTGACCTAGAGTGAGATTTTTCAGTAACAGGAGGGCCACAGCAGTACCCACTCTGCAGTGTTACTGTGAGAATGATGTGAATCCACAGCATAAACCACTCACAATGCCTGACCCTTAGTCAAATGCTAATCAGTGTTCGTGGCTGCTGCTAGTTTTATTGTCATCATCTTTGTCCCTGTTGCTGCTGCTACTGTTCCTGATGACCTGGGATTATGATTTGTGTCCAACACAGTATGGAAAGAAAAGAGGGCCCACAGTTAGGGAAATTACTTGCTTTGCATAGATTATGTATTTTTGGAATCACATAATCAAGAGTGCTCCCTTAGATTCTTACAACAAGGTTTTTCTAAGTCTTATCTGTTTAGAGTGTGGTACACTTGTATGTGGTCATGAACATTCAGTAAACAGAATTACCCACGTCTTGTTTTGCTCTGGTCTGAGATATTTGGTTTGTGTTTTTTTTCACCTCCTCATTGAGATACTAGAAACTCCCTGAACTGGAGAGCTTTTGCTCCGGGATCAAGCAGACTTGAACTTTCCAGTTGGTTGTGTCATGGGCTGGGCTCACAGCCACACAGATGGGGTCTCTGGCTGTGGCCTCAAGGCACTAGGGTGTAGAGAGGTGATGGGGCGTGGATGCTAGGTGAAAGTGGAGCAGGGGGTTCTGGTTGCCCTGGGAGGGCCCAGCCACACCTCCTGGCTAGGCTTGGCTGTGCTGCACTCGGGCTGTGGGGAGCAGCACTTGTTGCCAGCTGGCCTTCTGGGCCTGGACTTGCCGGGGCTGCTCCGAAGCCGACTCTCCCTAGCCCACCAGCATGGCCTCTGGCGAGGCCCCAGTCCTGGACATCTGCAGCTGTAGCACAGAGCTGCCCACAGAATCAGTGAGTGTGGGTTCATTTGCCTGTGACTCTGCAGTCAGAACCCAGCCCAGCCCTGATCCCTGCTGGCCCAGTATGATTTTCTTAGCAGTATGTCAGTCAGTGACGCAATCCCATCTCAGTGCATGTGACCAGAACCTCTCTGTGCTACCACCGGGCCTCTTTGCAAGGCTGTCTCCAGTCTGCTTTACTCCTACTTAAAGTTAACAGTCAGCATGTTGGTTTTGGAATTCTCTTTTTGGTCTGGGAAACCTTTACCAACACATAGCTCTTTGGCGGGGAGGTGAGGGACAAACACAAGGTAATTCATACTTACTTCCTCATTTAGGTCATCTTGAATTTTTGTGTTAACGTAGGAGAAGTTTGTCTGCTGAAACCTTAGGTTTAGCTACCATGCAGCCACTCTGGGGGAGAAATGGGTGTCTTCCCCTTGGTGTGCACACTGTGTTCTCACCAATCTTGTTTTTGAAAGATGCTACCACTTTCATTCCAGTCCATTTAAGGGATGCTCTCTAACTAGGCTTTAGCCGTGACTAACAGCGTTCTGGACGGGGCAGCTTTGGCCCCAAAAGTGCAGTGCAGCTAAGCATCGGGTGGGCTAGTCCTAGCTCACAGGGGCTACAGACCAGCCTGGCGAGTCTGCTGTCAGTTCTGCCGGATGCGCAGCCCGGCTGCCCTGGGCAGGAGTCTAGGGGAGGACTTCCCGTCAGCTGCTCAAAGCAGATTTTCCAGGCATCTACTTGGCCAGACCGTACCAAACAGGGCTGAAGAATTTCTCCAGAGGCTTTTTTGGGACAGCTGACACTGATTTCAGAGTTTGGCCAAGCATGGCTCCCAGTGACCCCAGTGGCAGTTTTGGTTCTCTCCTAATTTCTTGAATTCATTTTTTCAAAATGTGATGGAGCTGTCATCTTCCCATACAGCCCACCATAAGCAAACGCGGTTTTCCCAGATCATCCCGATGGCCCACAGCAGTTGCATCCTGGAACCTATGCAGTCATACAGTTGATCTCCCAGTTATTTTCCTGTTTGAAGCTGTGGTCAGTCGGGTTCTGTCCTCACGCTGTATCCGTGCTGGAGGGAAACTGAGTTCCTGTCACTTGCGAGGGTGTCAGGCACCTTCCCCATTCACGCTGCAGATGTAAATGGGGAGTTGTCTAGAAGATGGGGAGATGCCTGTGGTCCTGTCTCAGCATCCAGGTGTCCCGGGTGCCTGTGGCAGTCCCCTTGAGCTCTGTACTTCAAGTTCCCCATTTGGTAGTTAGGAATATTAAAAACAACTTAATTCACACAGTCCTTTTTTTTTTTCAATGACGATATTTTAGAAGTCCAGTTCACACCAGCTTACACAAAAAAGGGTACTTGCAGTTCATGTAACTGGGGGCTTGGGTGAGGCTGGACCCAGCTGCAGCAGTGGCCAACAGCAGCAGCAGGCTCACTTCTGGCCAGCTTGGCCATGCAGTGGAAAGGGAGCTTCCCCTTGCCTGTGGCTGCAGCCTAAGTCTTGGGAGCGAGCAGCATTGAGATACAAGCTGGCGTGTAGCCATGTCCCACTCCCCATGGGGCATGTGTTGCCTTGATTGGCGAGTCTGGGTCACATGCTCCCCTCCAGTGGCTCCTCGTACAAACAGGTGCTTTTAGCGAAGCAGAGAGTGTGGATGCTGGGCCAAGAGAAACGCAGAATCCCCCCCGAACTCCTCCTCTCCCCAAATCTACATTTTCTTCCAGGTTCCCTTCACCCCTCTCAAGGCCGTCTCCTCCCTTCTGTTGAGGTGGACGTGCGGCTGTTTTCACCTCTGTCTGACTTCTTCTCTAGAAAGCTACTTTCCTTGTCCCTGCATCTGGGGCTTCACAACAGCATGGTTGTAACAGACACAGGGATGTCTAAGGAAAGATGCTGGCCCCAGCCCTCCCCGACCCCGTTTTTGTAGTGAAATCTTGACTTTAAAAGGTACAGTAAAACACACGAGTCAAGAGAGCATGTGCTCATGAGACATGGTTTTGCCATGACCCGATTTGAATGTGGCATTAGTGTGTGTTTTTCACGAGGGCAGCACCCAGAATTCACACCTCCTCCACATTTAAACCTAGATGAGGAAGTTGTGAGAAATGAATGTGTGCCCCAGGCCCATCCACTGCTGTCCCCAGTTTGCAAAGAAATTTACTCTGCCTCAGGTCCCAGTAACGGGTGACTCATTCAGAAACCAAGAAATCACAGGGCCCCTAAATTTGCAGACGTTGACTATTAAAAGGAAGCAGAGGGACGTCTCAGTCCCTGAATCCAGAAGTGCTTGCCCTTCCCAGGAAGCCCAAGCAGCCAGGGAGCAGGCTCACTTCTTCGCTTGCCCTGGTCTGAGAGGACAGCCATCGCTGTTTGGACTCATTTAAGCAGTAACTTAATAAGCAGAGCTGAGATGAGAGATTGAATGGTGGGAAATATTTGTTTGAAATGCAGAGTTTGGCGTTGCTGTTTGGCTTGTGGAGAAAGGCAAACGTTCCTTGCACAGCCTGACCTTCAGAGCCTGCTCCCTTCTTGGAGTTCCAGAAAGAACAGAGTGCAGGCAACAGGACTGACTTTGAACCTGCCGGGGCAGCTCGGATCTGAGGGACACCTGAGAGGCTGGAGCCCAGCATTGGCTTTTTGCCCCAAGTCTCCACCAGAATGGATGGAACCTGGTGTTGTTTGTGGCTCCTCTTGCAAAGCCAGAGCCAACCCGAGGCTGGCAGCATTCTGACTGGGGTGAGCCAGGGACTGACTGTACAGACTTCGGAGGTTGAGTCCTACCCTGCCCCTGTGCAGCTGTGTGACCGTCGGCAAGTCAGCACCCTCTCTGTGCTTTTCTCCTTCAGAGGGGGCTTCTAAGGGCCCAGCCCTCAGGTTGTCATACGTGAGGACATCCACACTGTGGCAAGATACGGGAGCACTGAGGAGGGGCCCGGCCAACATGAGGGCGGAGCTGTGTTTGAGTTTGGTTGGATGGACTCTGTGCTTGGGGACCTGGAGAGTGTCTGTGGGACCCACTTCTCCGTTGTTTCTGTGACTAATAAGTGGGGGTGTGCGTGTATCACCATGGGAGACATGAGCGTGTATTACCGGGGGAGATGGGCTGCTGTAGCAGGGAGATGTGGGCCTGCCAGCTTTTCACTGGGCTTAGCTGATGTAACAAGGAGGAAGACTGAAGGTGAGTTAGGACAGATCTTCTGAAGAGCAGCTTCCCGGAAAACCAGTGTGGCTCCAGAGCCTGACTGCTCAGTGCAAGATAAAGAAAACAAGGCAGGGCCCCGAAGTCCTCCGCGCACACCCGCGCCGTCTCGCCACAGCTGCTTCGCTTCTGGACATCCTGCTCAGAGCCAGCCCGTCCCGCACACTCCTTCCCGTATTCCCTAGGTAACCAGCGTGCGCTTTCCCTTGCCCTTCACCCTCCTTTGGAGGTCTTGAGCTCAGCTTCCCGCTTCTTAGCGTCTGTCCTTGCTGTGACTTCTGAAACAGGACACAGGACCACGGAGCAAATCCTTGATCTGTGAAGTCAGACCATTAGGAGGTCATGCCTGTCGTTTCTCTGAAAAGCACTTCATTTACCAAATATTGATCAGGTTAGGATGTGCATCATCCCAGGCAGGTTGATAAATTATTGCTGTTCCTTCAGAAATCTGTGTGTGAGAGAACCAGGGAAACTCAAGGGCCTGGCCAGAGTCGTCTCAGGAGGGAGCAGTCCACGTCCTTGCCCTGAGGGTCCTCAGGCTGTGGTGGCCTGCACTGGCTCCTCCCAGCACAGCTGCTGCCCGGCTCCCTGACAGATGTGGCCTTTCCTACCTTTGAAAACAGTGTGATAACATACACATAACATAGAGTCTGCCGTCATAACCATTTTTAAAAATTGTGCATAGGGAAATTGGTTTTTAAAAATATTTGAAAGG